ACGATCCGCAGGTTGAGGTTGCCGGTCCAATCTGATTTCAAAACGTTGAAGATATTAGCCAAGTTTTACTTATGATAAATTTTTAGAATTTTTTTATTTAGATGTGATAATTGTAAAAAAAATAAATAAAATAATTATGATTTAAATATAATATTTTATTTTATTTTTACTTTTTAATTTATTTTATTTTTTGTGAGCTAAATTAGGTCAACTCTCTGCCTAAATACATCGTCATATTACTTAGTCTAAAATGATAAATAACCCATTTTCACGATGTAGAGTAATAATACATAAAAAAATAGGGACAATTGTAAAAAAAATTATATAAATTCAAAGTAATTGTAAAAAGATGGAAGTATAAAATTTAATTGCACAATTTAATGCAAATTGTTTATACTTCCACATTGTAATTATTTTCTGTTGAGACTTTTTTTTTTTTTGCAATTCTCCCTAAAAAATATGAGGAAAATTACAAAAAATAAAATAGAAAATAAAATCTGAAGTTTTAGTTGACTAACAAATTAGTGAATTTCAAGTTTTTAATTATATTAAATTAAAGGATAAATTACAAATACAACCCTTAAGGTTTACTTAAAATATAAATTGCCTCCTATAATTTGAAAAATTATAAATATTCCCTAATCACAATTTTTTTATTTAAAAAAATTAATTTAAAAAATAAAATTCCTAACTACTCTCATTTATAATAATAAAATTATTGAATTATTAATTAAAATAAATTTCTGACATCATTAAAAATTATTAATTGACTTAATGATTTATTAATAAAATAGATCATCTGTTATGAAATTAAAAATTTTGAGTGGTGAGATGTAATTTCTAAAATTATAGGAATAATTATTATTTTAAATAAATCTCAGAAGATATATTTATAATTTATCCTAAATTAAATCTTAATTTTTAGAAATGTTACCAATTTCAAATATTGTCCGTTTGAAGGCTTTTTAATAGACATATTTTTTAGGGAATTAGTTGTCAGTGGTGTGTACCAAAAAAAAATAAACTCTTTTTATTGATAAATCTCATTTGATAGTGTTCTAACTCAATGAGTCTACCAAGAAAAATTATAACCTATTTAGTAATGTGTTTATACTTTTATATCAGGAGATTCTTTTTTCTTGATTTATATTGTTTGTTGAACTATTATACCCTTATGTCTATTGTTGATATGTATTACATAGAAAAAAGATATACATACTTCTTTTTTGTTGCTACCTCTATTTTGGTAGTTGCCATTATTCACTTTTTTTTCTTTTTGATCAGTTTCATTTATATTTGTCGTATTGTTTCATTGTGATAGGGTTTTGAAATTCTCTATTTGGTAGGACATAAAAACTCTAATTTACATATGGTGGTGAAATAATATTATGTTCCTCTATTGTTACGGTGAAATTTTCATCCATTGTCACTTTGTGTTTAAAGTTCTGTGTTTGTTCATTGTTACTCTGTGTTCAAAACTCTATATTTCTCAATTATTGTAAGTCGAAGCTCAATTTATGTCCAGTCAATTTTGTTACAAACACATTCTTTAAAGGTGAGTTTGGTTTGATTTGGATTGATGGAATTATGAAATTACATAGATTGTTAATGATAGTGATAATAATGATGACGATGAGGATGTGGGTGATATTTTTTTGTTTTTAGAGTGACTGAGTTTTTTTTTGATTTCTAATTCTATTGCTGCCATTGTTTCTATTTTTTGTCAATCAGTGTGAATATTCACATTTCATATTATTTGAAAGTCTGAGAAATAAGTGTTAGAATATAGATATTGACATAATTATATATTTTGCAATATGTTCATGTTCACATATTATTGGTTATTTGTTAATATACTTGTTGTCTAAACAATTATTTTTTGTTACCATTAAACAAATGAAATAGTTATTTTTTTCTTTCAATTTTGTTTCATGCTGCAGTGTGAATGTTCACATTGGTATAAATTTAGTTTTTCTAATGTTAGTTGTATGTTAATTGTAAATTATGAACATTCACATTATATTTTGATATGAGTTTTTTATTTTAAGTTTGTTGTATTTTGTTATTTTTTTACTATGCTTGTTGGTTGAATAATTATTTTTGTTATCATTAAACAATCGAAATAGTCGATTTTCACTTTTTTTTCAATTTTATTTTATGTTTTCATGTTGTAGTGTGAATGTTCACATTGGTATGAGTTTATTATTATTATTTTTTTAAAACTAGTTATATATTAATTGTAAATTGTGAACATTCACATTGTATTTTGGTATAAGATTTATTTTTTCGAAAATTAATTGTGTGTTTGTTGTTTTTGTTACTATGATTGTTAGTTGAACAATCATTTTTGTTACCATTGAACAATTAAAATAGTCGATTTCATTTTTTTAAATTTTATTTTATATTTTCACATTCCAGTGTAAATGTTTACATTGGTATAAGTTTTTTTTTTAAGGCTAGTTGTATGTTAATTATAAATTGTGAACATTCACATTGTATTTTGATATAAATTTTATTTTTTCGAAAGTTAGTTGTATATTTGTTGTTTATTGTGAACATTCACATTATACTTTAGTATGTGTTTTATTTTTTAAAAAGTTAATTGTATGTTTGTTGTTTACTGTGAATATTCAAATTATATTTTGATTTTCATTCAGATTTTTTGTTGTATTATTTTTAAAATTTTCAAATTATAAAAATATTCAAAATTTATAATTTGAGATTTTCTGCGTCGAATGCTGGAGAGATTTTCTTCTTAGATCAAGGGAGAGATTTTCTCAATGAAATATGAGAGATTTTCTTTTTAGAACGAGAGAGAGATTTTCTTCATAAAATGAAGAATTATTATTATGTATTAGTTTCAAACTAGAAACATATGCTAAAAATTAGAAATGATTATTAGAACTTAATGGAATACTTAAAAAGAATATGAATTAGATGAAATAGAACACTTAGAAAGATGATTTATCAAAAAAATGATCAAAAAAATTACAAAATTATTTAAAAAAATGATTTTACATATTAATATTTATAATAAATACCACTAATTTAAAAATATGTTTTAAAATAAATGATATTTCTCTATATTTTTTTCTAAAATTTGTGATAGTTTTTCATTTTGCTCAAAATCAAGGCTTGCCCAATTGATAATGATGAGCATCGAAGAAAGCTGGTATCTTTGAATGTCAAGGTTAATTCTTCTAAAATTAAAGAAACAAAAATTGAATGCCAAGAATGAAATCTAAAGGCTTGCCCAATTGATAATGATGAGCATCGAAGAAAGCTGGTCTCTTTGAATGTCAAGGTTAATTCTTCTAAAATTAAAGAAACGAAAATTGAAAGCCAAGAATGAAATCTAAACATTCTCAATTCGAACACGTCTATTTAAGGGACTTTTGTTTCCTTACACTGTTACACGTGTTTATCATGATTTGTTCTCATGATGAACATATTCAACCTTCAAGTTCATTGAACTGCCATGCGGAGGGACTTGCTTTCATGTTCTTTTTATTCATTTATTTTTCTTGTCTTGTCTTTTTTTTGTTTTTTGTTTTTTTAATGTAGGAATTGAATTGATGTTTGTGGAGACATTTTAAATATTATTCAAGTAGGATGGTAAACAAGATGAGTGGTAAGATACAATGTGATTGCGATATTTTTGTACAATTGTACATATAAATTATTTATTTATATAATTATATATATAAATTTATTGAATCTAATTTGAGCCAAGATACAATGTGATTGCGATGTCTTTGTACAATTGTACATATAAATTCATTATTTATATAATTATATATATAAATTTATTGAATCGAATTTGAACCAAGTTCACAAATTAATAATGTTTAAAGTATATTTATATCAAGTTATTTTCGAACTAATTCAACGAGTCAAGCTGAAATAGTTAATTTGTGTTACGGTTTTAGGTGTGTAAGCCTAAGAGGAGCATGATCAAGTTAGTTCAACTTTTTTTTTTTCCTTAAGAAAATCCAGAGTAGAGTACTAATAAATTTTAAAATGTGATCTTGTGAACGGTTTAACCCTCTCTTTTTTCTTATAAATCCAAAAGTCTTGTTAAAGTGGAAATTACATAAAAAGGTAATCTCAGTCACATGTTTGGGTTTAATTTTTTAGGGTCAGAAGTGATTTTCTCAAAATATAAAATTACACATCTGGACAATTTGAACTATAGAAGTTTTGAATTTTCTCTCATTCTAGAACAAATCTCACATTACAAACAAAAACCTAACATTTTAATGTAACACTAAAAAACGTAACATTTCAATGTAACACATTAAAAAACCCTTGGTGTACTTTTTCTAAACGTAATAACGTAAAACTCAAAAAAATTATTTGGCGTACTTTTTCCATACCTAACGCTCCAATATAAAAATAATAATAATAAAAAAAAATCCTTAGTGTACTGTACGAGTACAGAATAATCTTCTCGTATAATCCTGTTGACCAAGTTTGCGCTCCTCAAAACGTCGTCGCTTTACCACCTGAAAACACAAATGTGAGCCAGCCAGCAATGGTGTACCGGAAACCTCTCCGATACCTAAGTCAGCAAAATAGATAATAAACACAAAAGCTCTGTGTATTTGAGAGTAAGAATCGTAATACATGTGCATAAGTCCCATCATGAGTTTTTATAGATTCTGACCGGCACAATCCTAGTAGGACTCTAACATTCCTCAGCAGATTCCTCCTAGAAATCACTTTCCAATGATAATGTTTATCCTGATGACACCCTACTCACTGCTAACCAAGTGAGATGGTTTCAACATCTCTACGTCGGCTGGTATTACGGTTTAACCGACCAAACATCTCCCTTGCACTTGCCTGGGCCGCACTGTGGTAACTCTACTATAGCCTGGCACCCTGCTGAGCTATGCCAAGCTCGGCTTTCTGTCCTGTTAACACCTCGATCCACTATTTAAATAATTAGGTCAAAGCCCAAGTAGCACATCTCCGACCGAGCCTGGTATCTGCCTAGG